AATGGCAGTTTATATCTCTTGCCCAAAGGTGTGATATAAACATGCATTTAACAATCACTAATGATTGTTTCAAGTTTTCCATGTCTTCTTAATATAGTCCTTACAGTTTTCCAGATGATTTCAACTGGCGTATCAGGATAGATTTAAGGACTGGGAATCTTCACGTTTTGAGATTGTGCCGCTGCTGTGTTATGCGGGCAGAAGCAGATGCTAAGGTATCATTCTAATGCCTTCATTCTTTCCCATGTGTGCTGTCAGAAGCATTCCCATGTGGTTACTGTTAAAGTGTAACCTTCAGATTTCTTTCCCATGTTTGTTACACAAATCTTTCCCATGCGTGCTGTCAGAAGACAGCAGATGGTGCTACTGCATGTGTGCTGCCATATACTTGATATAATTGCATGAAAAGATCCTATAATGGTGGGTGTACAATAAAGAATGAATGGTTGCTTATAGTTTTAACTAAAGGTATGTTATAAGTATGCATCTCAACGATTTTTCCATGTCTTCTTCAGTGAATACCTTGACTATGAACTTGTGATAAGAAATCCTAATGCTTTATGCATGTATAAAATTCGTATGATGATTGCTACAGTTTTTTCTATAGCATGATTAATTGTTCTAATGCCATATGTTGCTGCCAAAGTTTTATTCACAGCAGGAAAAGGAATATATGGTTTGGAGATTAAAACATTGTAAGCATTGTGCTTTTGTCATTCTAGAATTGGTCGTCATGCAAACGATGATCGATATGTGATTGAAATCTGGAATATGATTGAAATCAGTTTCTTGATATCTAAGTATGTATTGGCAATAGCCATTGGTGTAGATTGTAGCTTAGTAACTTTAGGTTGAACCTGATACATGTGAAAATAATCTATAATTAGATTTTACTTGTGTAGAAAGTTGGTTTTTCATTTGACGTTTGGATGATTTCTACAATCAAATTGAAATGCTAAAGTTTTATGCAGGTTTTCAACACTAATAATCTCTATACTTGAACAAATGTTTGAATAAATCTTCATCAAAGTGGGAATTATTAGAAAATTTTGTTCAAGGGATTCTTAATTGAATTTTGTGAGTGACAGTTCATTGCATAAGACCAATCTTTCAAAAGAAAGAAATAGTGAATGGCTTGAACTGTGATAAAGTGTGTAGTATTTTATAAAAGTTTTAAGTCAACTTTGTTCCCTTGTCCAAAGACATGATTTGAGTTGTAACTTGAAATTTTTGTGAAATAACTATGCAAATAAAGATGCATGATTAAGATTGCATAACTGATATTTTATGTCTCTTGCCCAAAGGTGTTACATAAATTGCATGTCATGGTTATTCACTCAATGACTAGTTTATCTGCATAAGGCAGAATTGTGGCTTGGTTGGAAGCATTAGGCAAACTCATTGGAGTTTGATAAAGGATCGAATATGATTGTATCATATTTGATGTTGTTTCATATATATATGCAGTGTTTGAAATGATGAATTACTAATCAAACCGAGGTTTAATGAGCTGGTTATTGTAAAAGGCTTATCATTGGAGCCAAACAAAGGCTTGACAATGATGTTTGGTTTGATCAGTGGGAGTGTAAATAATAGACATGTTAAATATGTCTATTTGCTCTGTTAATATCATGCATGAGTAGTATTGGGGGATGTGATTTCAGAGTGTTAGTACAAATTATGAAGTACTAATTTTCTGGGGTTCAACTTTTAAAGCTATTCATGGATGAGTTGTTGTATGGTTGACATGACTTAAGTGATCACATAAGGGATTGGTTTAATACATTGGACAAGGAACATGATAAGTGGAAGTTCAAAAGTGGGAGAATGTTAGGTTTTGAACTTACACATATCATGATAAGGATACCTAAACGTGGGTTTAAACGAATTATGAGTCATGGCCATGTCAATAACTGATCTCCTAGAATTAAGGGATGTGGGACGTGATAAGGATGCCTGCATTGCTCCACGTCAAAGGAAACTGATTGCTGCAGTTCATAGCAGTTGCTATCCAATCATCATGATAGATGGAAGTTGGAGAAGTTCAGTTCAATATAATAAAGGATTCCCTGCTCACAAAGAACACGTTCTGTAATAAGGGGTTCTATCACCATTGGAACATAAGGTCTTGAGTGAGTAGAAGAATTCTTATGCGTTACCAGTAAACACAGCCTGCACCAGATCTTTTAGTTGGTGTTGCTGCTGTCTTTGTTGCTGGACAGATGGGTTCTTAGGTATGGTCGATCTCTTTTTAATGCCAACTCTTGTAAATGTTATATGTAAGATATGTTGTTTGTGATCCTTGTTGAAGACTAACCATTTATAGTTCCTACATCAAGATTATGAAGGTGGACAGTGGGTTCGAGTGCTCGATTTGCTTGAAGCAATTTAAGATTGACGACATGGCGAAGGAGAATAAAGTGGACGGGAACTTTGATGGGATGGGTCGGTGAATTTCTTAACCAACTTTCAAATAAGATGTGGAGGGTATGTAGAAGTGAATTTGGGAATCTTACAATTGGTTCCAAATTCGGAGCTAGGAAAAAGAAATAATGAAAGAAAAATAGGAGGAGAGAGAAGCAAAGAGAGGTTGTCGGCCGTGGAGTTGAGTGGTTAATGGGTCAGGGTGGCTGGCGGGCTTCGGTGATGCTAGACTTTTTGTTTCAATTCTTACTTTTGATTTTTGTTTAAGTTAACAGTGTTGGATCTAATCCAACGACACTTTTTCTACACCATATGATGTAAGAGAACGAGACTGATTAAAAGTTATTTTAGGAATAATAATAGTTGGAAAATACCAAGAGAGAGAGAATAGAAAGATGTAGTTCTGAGGTGTATGTTGAATCACCATATTGTGCCTTTATTTATAGTAGTAGGATAAGTTAAATTTTTACCCTTATAGGATTACAACTCTAGTAGGATATTAACTACTGATGGGAATATTTAAAGATATCCCTATATACATTAAGATTTGCAGAATCACATTCCTAATCTAATAGGACTGCAACACATTTTTATTTTATTTTATTTGTTTTATGGGTGGAATTATAATTTGAGTATGAAAATAGGACAATCGAGTAAAATCTAGGAACACTCAAAAATTAAAAAGAAGCAATAGTCTTTGTGGGCTCTTAACTTTTACCCTTCTCAAAATAAACCCAACCCAAAATTTTTTTTTTGTCAAATAAAACCCAAATATGTTTACTTTTATTATACTACATCAAAACTAAAAAGTAAAGTCAATTAATACTACAGACTAGTCGTATTTCTTTTCACTTGTAAGTGAAGGGTCTTAAATTTGATTTTCGCCAAGGGCGACTTTGAATTGCATTATTGTAACATCCCACATCGCCCAAGGAAGTGGATCTTGTAAGCCTCATATGTATATTCTCATCTCTACCTAGCACGAGACCTTTTGAGAGCTCACTGGCTGTGGGTTCCATCGGAACTCCGAAGTTAAGCGAGTTTGGCGAGAGCATTCCCAGGATGGGTGACCCACTGGGAAGTTCTCGTGTAAGTTCCCAGAAACAAAACCGTGATGGTGTGGTCGGGGCCCAAAGCGGACAATATCGTACTACGGTGGAGTCGAACCCAGGATATGGTGGTGGCCCGGGCCGGGATGTGACAATTATTGTTAGCTCATTGTGAATGCTAAGTTCATCCTCTCCCTAATATCATTTGTTCAAAAAAAAAAACACCTTCTACAGTAAGGAAAGAAGTGAAACATCGTTTTACCCTAATAAAAAAACGAAATCTAATGAAAAGAGCTTGAAAAAATTTAGTTTTAATAAAAAAAAACCATGTTATAAGTTTTGTTTAATGATTAGTACAAGGTCCATATTAAAGTAGTCCAACTAAAAATGACCTAACCATAATAAATTATGATTTGTCGATTTTACCCCTAACTTTTTTAGGTTGAGTTCCAGATTTTCGTCGTTAATGGAGTTCATCGTTGTTTTGCAGACCTTCTTCTTTTTCTTTGAAACAAAAATATAGATCCTCATGCTATTTAATTTATATTTTGTATTATTTTGTTGAAACGTGATCGTCGTTATTATTCATAAAGTATTCGAGGTACTATTTTTCAATTTTTTTTCGTTAGTGGAGTTCATCGTTTGTTTCTCCAGAAAATAAATTTGAGATCTGCATGTTATTCAATAATAACGACGGGTCACTATTTCTGGACTGTAAAAATAAACTATTTCTGGATTTTAAGTAACACTGTTTCTGGAATCTAAGTTACTGTTTCTGGAATCTAAGTCACTGTTTCTGGATCCAAATGAAATAGACACATTGTCTCTTAAAAGTAAGCTAGAAAATAAATAGTGAAATTCATTGTATATGGATTCAAAGCAAAATAAGCATCCTACTTCTTAAATATAATCAACTGATGCATGAAAGAAAAGAAACAATCAAAGGTTAAAACATAGACTGTATGTCGCTGTTTCTAGATTTTGGTTCTTTTCTTTCCAGATACAATGTTTGTTTGTGCACAGAAAAAACAAACACTATATCTTTTTTTTTTTCCAGAAACAGTGTTATATTTTGGGTTCTTTAGAAACAGTTTTATGTTTTGGTTCTTTTTTTTCCTATTTACATACGCCTGACATGTACGTACATCACCGGGACCGTAGATCCTTATTGGATTTGATTGGAATAAAATACTAACACTATAAATTGTTCGTCGTGCAGATAAGAGGATGAGAATGAGGACGATGATGAGGAAGATGAGGATAAGGGCACGAAAAAGGTAGACAATAGTTTTGAATGATTTTTTATTAAACTTTTAGCCATTTTAATTAAATAACATTTTTAGATGATTTTTTATTAAACATTTGTTGGCCAAGCCCTTTTCATTAAAAAAAAACCCCTTTTACCGCTGTCATTCCTCATTCATCGCCGCATACCTTTTGCGTCTATGCCCTAATCTTCGTAAAGTTATTCCCCAAACCCTTCAAAACTTCTCCACTCCATCTTCTTCGTCTTCACAAACCCTAGCCATGTCTATCAGTATCACAGACTACAAGTTGGACTACGATACGCACAGCCTATACAGAGTAGATTTCTTCGACGACTACATCACAACCCTTGTGACACACACTCCCTCCAAGGTCAAGTCCTGGATCAACAAAACCCGATACTTACACCGTTACCGACTTCACAAACTCATCATTGGACTTGATGTTGAGTGGCGTCCCAGTTTCAGTAACGGCGTGAACAACCCGGTCGCAACCCTACAATTGTGTGTTGGCCATCGCTGCCTTATATTTCAGTTGCTTCATACACCGGGGATCCCTAGTCGTCTTTTCAACTTTCTGGCAGATCCAGACTTTACCTTTGTCGGGGTTGGGATTAAGGACGATGTTCGAAAGCTTTACCTTGAGTATGGCCTCGCAGTAAGGAGGTTTGTCGATCTTAGGGAATTGGAAGCGAGAAGGTATGGCTGGAGTGTGCAGCGGAACATAGGGCTTAAGGACATGGCAGCGGATGTTCTGGGGCAAGAATTTGAAAAGCCAAAGACTATTACAATGAGTCACTGGGATAACCCGTCCCTTTCACTTGCGCAAATCAAGTATGCTTGCATCGATGCTTTTGTTTCTTTTGAAATTGGGAGGGCTTTACGCGCAGCCAAGTAAAGCGGTTGGGTCGATTATGTTCACAGTTTTTTTTTTTTTTTTCTGTTTTTTTTCGCTATGGATGGACAACTACTAATAAGTTTAATGCATGTGTTAGGCATATTTACTATTAATGTATGTCCTTTTGAATTTTTTATCCATGTCAAAATATTATGTTAGACATATGATTACATATGGTAAGTTCGGCAACTTTTGTGTAATAAGTAAATTGCTGTATATGTGTGTTTTGAAAAGTTTTTTTCCAAATCTTAGGTCTCTCCTATGTTTCTCAATTTGGGTATTTAAGAAATATACGTTAAGAGCTAATGAAATTAATTGGTGACTGACAAATTGATTGGTGTCTTGAACTAAATTTGTCCGCTTCAACAAATTGATTAGTTGCTTTTCTATATATACTGCTACTGCCAGCTTTCCTTCTTTCAGTATTCTGCATTCTGTACATTGCCCACCTATAATTGATTGATTATGAATCGAGAAGGACATACATTTTTCTTCTTGAAAGTGAATAGCTTTTTTCTGCTTGGCATCATGTATTTGAGTAGTTGGTTGATAGATGTTTCATGTTGCACTATCGTGAACCTTGGAACTTAATTTGTTTTTTCTAAGATGTGGTGTTGGTGGTTTTTCTTCAAACTGTGAAGCTGCGATTCTATATTAGTGTGACAAAAAGCCATTGTGCACTCTTCTTGCTTTTTTACTTTTTACTTGCAAGAAATGCAGTTTTTAGTTTTTTTTGTAGTGCTAATAGCAATTTCTAAGTTAAAATCATCCTAATATTGACATATATAACTTACCAAATATAATAATGGCTTTACCAATGTATTATGTTAATGGGTGTTGCCCTTTGCTTGACTCATGTAATTTGCAAACTCACCACCTTATGATTCATTGTATAGCTTAGTCCATCCCCACTTTTCATGTAAATATATCATTATATTTATAAATAAATATTTTTGTCGTTGGTATGGGTGTTAATGGTTTGGGTAGCTAGATATAAACTTTGTCATGTACGAAATAATGTATATATTGTTATATGTGGATGATTTTACTTGTTTTCGAGTAGTTATATTATGAAAGGGTTTTACTAGTACGTTCCAATGCGGGTTTTTATCACAAATGATTCTTGAAATTGACCCACCCAATCAAGATGGTCCTTGAAATTGAAAATCGATCAATGTAATCCCTGAAATTGACCGTTGCAAATCAATGTGGTCATTCCATCACAATTCAGTTAAAATTTCTGTTAAGTGCTGATGTGGCACAAAAAGGGATCCACAAATTTAATTAAATATTATTATGTGAATAAAAATATTTAAATAATAAATAATAATTGTTATTTTTTATAATTAAAATCTTTAGAAAAAAAAGGGAAGGAGATGATTGAACACTGTTCATCATCTTCTTCCCCTCCCACCCCCCACCCCACCTCTCCCTGTTTTTTCACACCGCAGAAGAAAACAGAACAACTGGGTTATTTTGTATTGTTGAAAATCTGTACACTACCCATTTCTCATACGCCTTAAACCAAAAACCCAGAAGAAGAAAAATTATAAACGGTAAATGAAGGAGAGAATGAGAGAGAGACCTGAAATAGAAGGACAACTGGATTTGTTGAAGCAGAAATTCTCTGCGCACGAAGTTCTTTCTTTTCATGGTTTATGGGTCGTTTCGGAATTTGATTGGAAGGCAAGCTAAGGGGATGAAGTGAGAGATGGAAGTGGGAGGGATAATGGTGATGGGGCCTTTGTTAAAAGCAAAGAGGAGGAGCTTGAAATTGGCAAGCCAAGCGAGGAAGAAAGAGGACGGGCCGTCGAGAAAAATGGTGGTCAGATTGAGAGGGAGGTAGAAGAAGAAGAATGCTACGGGTAGGGTGGCGAGGAGTCTGGTGGTGCCAGAGAAGTGAGCTTGCCGACGGTGTGACAGTAGGATAGTGATGCCACAACCAAAATCCACACCATGAAAAAGTTTGGGATTTCTCCTTTCAATTTCATCATTTCTGTGAATATTTCTTGTGAGAGTATAAATTTTTTAGTGGGAGGTGAAGAAGATGATGAACAGTGTTCAATCATCTCCTTCTTCTTTTTTTTTTTAAATTTTTTTAAGATTTTAATTATAAAAATACCAATTGTTTTTTATTATTTAAATATTTTTTATTTACATAATAATATTTAATTAAATTTGTAGGACCCATTTATGTGCCACATCAGCACTTAACAGCCAATTTTAAGGACTACATTGATTTGCAACAACCAATTTTAGGGACTACATTGATCTATTTTCAATTTCAAGGACCATCTTGATTGGATAGGTCAATTTCAAAGACCATTTATGATAAAAACCCTTCCAATAATCATGCAGTAATGGCATGAGGTTTTGTCAAGATTGTGACTCAACAGAAAAATAAGATAAAAGAATTGGCAAACGTCAAATCCAAGAGTATAAGCTGAAGTCCATGAGCAATCCCAAATCCATCAGAAAATAGAGAAAGCTCTAAAGTTTAATTGATACTCCTAGGCATTATCCTAATTCTAGTAGTAATTGGAAATCTAAATGAAACATAAAAGAAACCCTAATTAACTAGAGGAAAGGAAGCCTAATCATTATGGAACAAGGAAAGATTAAGTTACCAAAACTTAAACTTTCCCAAAACCCATTCAAGCAACTATAGAATATTCCAATGATACACCTTCCCATATTTTATCACGAAATACTTTATGGTTGAACGTGAATTTTTTCTCTTTCTTTGTCTCCTACCAAGAAGATGGTTCATTTTTGTTTTTAGTTTATAAGGTAATTTTTTAGTTTCTTGTTTTTGTGGAAGGGAAACTTTTGTTCAAATGTCTAAAACCACATGAGCTCCTATAACATCAAAGGAAATAATGGGGTAAACTTAGACAAAAAATTGTTACATAATAGAGTGTAAAAGGTAATGAAATTTTGTATAAAGTATAGAGGGCATAGAAAATCATGCCAACAACTAAAGGAAATTTTTATTAGTATAAGGCAATTTTTTAGTTTTAGTTTTTGTGGTTTCAGATGTCTAAAACCACAAGAGTTCCTACCACATCAAAGGAAATAATGGGATAAACTTAGACACAAAGAATAATTACAAGGAGTAAATTGATACATAATAGAGCGTAAAAGGTAAAGTGAAATTTTGGGTAAAGTATAGAGGGCATATAGAAAAAATCAAGCTAACAACTTGTTTGGACCCAAAATTACATCATCGATCCGTGCAATGAAGGCCATTGAATGGGCATAGTTTCCAACCGTTGGATGGAAAAGTGAAGATAATTTTATTAACATTAAAAGATAACATTATGGTTTCTATCATAATTATCTTTCAATAATGATTTATCTTGACATTTTCTTACGAAAAAATATATCTCCAAGCTGAAAACAAGCGGCACAATTCAAACTGATGTGGATGTGTGGTTGGATTAGTTTGGGTTGACAGATATGCATGCATATGATAAGGGTGAAGTAAAAATGGTGATTTGCTTGGGAAATAATTTTACACGTGGTGGTGATAAGATGGCAACAATTATGCATGCCAGTTATCCTTTAGGTGATTAATGGGATGTGATAAGACTTGTATAGCATTGCAATTAAATTGTAAGTGCTTACGACATACATGATTTACATACACGTGGAGGATTTGGCTGCCAAGCAGCATGGAGGATTTGAAATTAAGGAAAGTTTTGTTGCACGTGGTTTACATCAGGCATTTCGAATATGCTGTCTGACTAGCCCCAATTCAGGTTGTGATAATTATTAGCAGGGGGTTGGCTTATCAAGAGTTAAAGTGTGGCGGTGATATCACGTATTAGCACGGGAAAGAGGTGGTAGAGTTGCAATTGGAGTCCACAAAATTATCAACCCCGTACTCGTCCCTATAAATGAAGGATACCTGCAACATTTCAGCCCCCCTCCAACTCAACAGACAAACTGCCTTGCGCAAACTCTCACTCCATGCGAAACCTCTCAACAACCTTGAGATTTTTATTTTCTTTTTCGCCAACACATCTTCAGTTTGGATAAACAGTACTGTGAAGGCAACTGGCGAACATCTTCAATTTGGATAAACAGTACTGTTGTCGTAGAATCAGCCGACCGCGAAGTACCTTTAGTTTGAATAAACAGCACTGCGACGAGATCGACTGGTTATCTATACAAGTCTCCGTCGAGAAGGATTTTCAAATCCCTATTGGCAGATGTCATCTCATCAGCCTTCTCGGCGAAGTGAGGTGTTACTAGGTTACTACATTCGGCACTCTAAGAGCCAAATTTGATATTGAACTTCGCAGAACTAGCAGCCTTGTCTTCAGGCTCTAGAACCCGAAGGCCGAGATGTGTTCCTTCCTCGGCCGCAATCGCGAGATTCATAAGTCAGCATCGCACAACGCAACATCAACAAATTTTACTCACCGGCCAATCTTGGCCATCTAGTTGGCACGCCCCGCACACAACCGAAGGACATAGTTAGCTTATTAATTACTCGGCATGTGCGCCACATAGGCTTAGTGGTTTTTAAGGTCAACACAACTAAAGGAAATTTTTATCGCCATTCCAAAAATGTCATTTTCCAATCCTCATTTTTATGAAAATATGAGGCATAAAATATACAAAAGAGATGTGCATGATAGCACTTTTCATTGAAGAACGATTATTAAAAAAAAAAAAATTGATAGTTAAATGAGGGAGTTATACATTGTCAAATGCCATATTGATTAACCCATTCATTGGGCAAATACATAGTCTAACGGTTTTACGCCCTTTTATTTTCTTATAAATATTATCATCCTTCGTTTTTCTCTAGAACTCTTAATCTTCAAAGTAATATTTTTCAAGTTTTGTATACCAATGGAAAATTGAGTTGTTCACCCAATCCAAGTATTGCGAGTGTATGCTTATAAGGATCATAAATTGTTGTATCTTGTAGGGTAAGGCGCCATAACCTGCTACACTGAGACATTGTCTTAGAGGGGTGAAATCTACTC